CCTCGCTAGGGTGTTGGTGGCGGTGTACTAATCTTATGCAATGTTGCGCATTGCATAAGATTAGTACACCTTTCGAGTCGTTGGTTTTTTAACGAATCTTTCGAGTCCTCTGTTTCTAGTCGTTCGTTTTTGTAACGTGACACGACCTTTTTGTTGGATACAGAAGTTTGTTAATTTTCAACTGTCCTTACAGGTTGTTTTTTTTTACTCTTACTGTTATGTTATGATAGTTTCTCAAGCTTCGGGAGGAACAATGCGGTTTTCGCCCCGGCCGTGGAACACTCTATACCCTCACTAGGGTGTTGGTGGCGGTGTACTAATCTTATGCAATGTTGCGCATTGCATAAGATTAGTACACCTTTCGAGTCGTTGGTTTTTTAACGAATCTTTCGAGTCCTCTGTTTCTAGTCGTTCGTTTTTGTAACGTGACACGACCTTTTTGTTGGATACAGAAGTTTGTTAATTTTCAACTGTCCTTACAGGTTGTTTTTTTTTACTCTTACTGTTATGTTATGCATTTTTTTATTATAAAATAGCGTTTTATTTCCTACAGACTATAATTTTTTGAATATCTGTCAATATGGTTCTTTTCCATAACACTGAACGATTTAATAAAGAGTTGGTTAATGCTTTAAACTTCATCAGGGAAAATCTTTCTGTATACTATACGGAAGACGGCATGACACTGCATAGCTTAGCTTAGGATGTTACCTGACAAAAGACCAAACGAATTTGACCCAAAACATCTGTAAAATGATCCGAACTTCCTGTGCGAGGTACTTTGGGACTATGTGATGCAGGGCTCGTTGTTATGGGCTGTCCGTTCCCTGTATGACCGGAGTAGGAGCTTGGTTCACATTGCTGGCGATAAGTCAGACCTGTTCCTAGTGCATGTTGGACTCCGTCAAGGCTGTCCTTTGTCACCGATTCTGTTCATTATTTTTATGGACAGAATTTCTAGGCGCAGCCAGGGAACGGAGGTGTTTCTTTTGGTGGCTGCAGAATCTTGTCTCTGCACTTTGTGGATGATGTGGTTCTGTTGGCTTCATCAGTTCAAGACCTACAGCATGCACTGGAGGGGTTTGCAGCCAAGTGTGAAGCGACGGGGATGAGAATTAGCACCTCCATATCCGAGGCCATGGTTCTCAATTGGAAAAAGGTGGATTGCTCTCTCTGGGTTGGGGGCGAGTTGCTCCCTCAAGTGGAGGAGGCTACCATCCTTCTTTCTCACAAGGATGATAGGAGAGGCATAGGGGCTACTACTCTCCCGGATAACCTGGGTATCCAACAGTTGGCGTATATGTGCTTTGACGGCCTCATAATCAGGAGGTATACACCTATACCACTGTCGTACTGGTACATCATCTAGCAGAGGGATATCATGAGAAATTAAGTTTGTGCAACCAAGGTCACCTTCAAACTCTGAAAACACCGACTCATGTTTCAACAACAAAGATTTCACATTTCCCTGTTCTGCTTTTGAAAGTACAGACAAGTTGAGGGCTTGAGTCTGCTCCTGCACTGAACTACCACCCCTCACCTGGGAGTTAACTGCTGCAGGAACCTGCGCTGACTGACTCTGCAATTCACTAAGCCCTGCAGGTAGGCTAACAACTTCAGCTTGAGTCAGTAATCCCACTACAACCCAGGGGTACAATGTAACTGTTGAATCACCTACATTCACAATAGGTATATATACTGTTCCCCTAGCAACCCGCATTAAGGATGGTGACACCAACAGCCCTTCAGGAAGGCTCTTTTCACTTACTGGCTCAACTAGGACTGCACCAGAGGACCCAAAAGGAGCTGAACAAGTAGCAGCCACCATCTTAACACA